CATAAAGCTATCCGAATGTGCCACAATGCGCCACATCACGTTACTGCAAAAGTGTCTAGACTAGACTCCTGGTGGGTAGGTATCGCTAGATCGTAAGAAATTGGAAACGTTTCGAGATGATCTGTTGAAACGGCAGCCGGAATTTAGCCTCACAACTAAAGAGACTCACTGGTTCATTTTATCGATACTCTCGAATTCTGCACGAAGCAGCAGAGACAGACCACCCGTAATTATATTTCACTATACTTCATTGTTTTTACAAACACCTCGATGAGAGGCAAAATGCGCATATCATATGTTCGCATAATTCTCGATATCCTAGAATAAATTTGGAACTGGACTCGACCTTCAGATTTAAATCTGATTTTCTTCGGATTCAGATTTAAATTCGCATATAAAACCGAATTTACCGAATCTGCAATTACCCACATTATCTATACAAACGCATAGAAAACAAAAGTAGTCGAGCTACCTATAGAATTTCTATAATAGTTTTCGTTTTTAAGTGATCAAATTTGATCAAATTTTTTTTTGTCACTGAGTGTATGTATGTGTATACGTGTGTCCATACAATGATGTATTTATTTTTGAAATTGACCAATAAAGTAATTGTTAGAGTAAATTCAGATTTTGACTTAACAATTCGAATTTAAATTCGAAGCAGAATATCACTAATCAAAATAAATTCGGATTCAAAAATCAAATCCAGTTCCAAACTCTATTTAGGAGAAACAGAAAAGTTTTCACATGTTACTTTATTTCTTTTTAGCAATACTACAATGGATAAAATATAATTAATTATTAACTAAATCAAAAAGGCTTAAAAAAGCATCTCCAATTTAACTTTCTGCAATATATTTATTGTGTGTAAAATTAGAATGGGTGTGGATTTAAAGCTGAATTGCGTCAGATTTATGTTTGAATTTTAAATGCGTGAACAAATTTGCGTTGAACGTAAGTGATGTCAAACTTTGAGCTTTTATATTTATAACTTACCAACTCAATTCCTGTAAGTTTAAGGTCAAAGTTTAGTGTCACTCGTGCTGTATAGTTAAATCAGAAAATATTAATACTTAGTAATACTCTAATTGCATTAAATAATTCAGTGAATCCCTTACTATTACAAATATTTCATCTACTTTCGTTCCAACACCAAAAATTTTGCAATGACATTTACTGACATTACAAGCTTGTACTCATGAGATCAAAAAGAACTTGGAATTTTTGTATTTTTGATCAATTAGTGTTTTTTCTTATTCGATGCCAGATTTTTGATCTTGACATAAAATGTTTATATAAAATATAAATACAAGAATACTTGAATACTTGAATACTTGAATACTTTAATAAATTTTAATTCGGTACGAAATATACAAAGAATTGTTTTATTATTTGACTATTAGGGTGATTCAGAATCAATGATTAGATTTCTGATTTTGCGACATATTTGTTTCGAAATAAGGGTTCTATAAATGCTATTTTTTTTTTTTATGATAATAATATATCATCAAAAAAAATATTCCTATTTCATTTTCTAATTTCAGAATTCAAAAACAGAGATAGGAGTTTTTAAACTCCACTTATTTTCGAAATAAATTAGTTTTGAATCACCCTAATATTACATTCATTAAATCGACACTGAACGAGCAGTAAGTTATTCTGATTCATATCTATCCCTTTAATAGAATGTATTATTGATTGACTATAAAATAAGGTTGTCTATGCTGCAAGAGATCTCAGATTTTTTTAAAAAATAAACATTTCTATATTGTATTTCACTCAAGCATTTTTTTTTTTTTTTTACTTTACAAGTGATTAAAGCTTCACTAATTAATTTTAAATAAGTTTTTTTTTTTATCGTTCAACTCATTAAAACGAATCATTCTTCGTGCTACAGCACTACGATCTGTGCTAAATTTCATTGGTCAATATTAAGCATTTGCACAATGAAACTAGAAACGGATGAGTCCGGCATTTTTTTTCTTTCAGTAATCAGTTAAAGGGTGGGGGCCCCGGTAATCAGTTATCATATTGTTACTGTTAAACTAAGTAACTATTGTTTAGAAAAATTAAAAAGGTCTAATAAAACTTGCTCAAATATAAACTTTCGTCATAACCATTTTATCATACAACATATATTACTGTATTAATGACTATAAAGTGATCATGTGCTAATTAATGTGAGCATGAGTTGCAGCTAATACGTTATATGGTTATCCTAATATTCAAATCAATTGGACATATTTGGCACAATGAGTCATTATGACACAATAATGTTTCAAAAAATAAACACTAAATGGGTAAGTACACAGCAAAACCATGCTTAGAGTATATACTCTAAGCATGGTTTTGCTGTGTACTCACCCAAATATCAAATTATGTCATACGTTACTGACAAATCTAAATCTTAAAAATTGACGTCTTACATAATAGAACTAAGAGTAGTTAAAGCTTATAATTATTTTAATAATTCGACACAAAATTAAAACAGAAACCAATCTCACACGATTCTTTAAATTATATTTTTCAATCAATAAATATATAAATAAATATGTAAATATTTTTGTTCAATTTTTAATTAAGCATTATTTCTTCAATTGTATCATATGATAACACCGTGTTTTTTATATAATCATAGAATTACTTTATTAATATGTCTTAAAAACTCATATGACATGGTGAGATAATGATAAGGGATATTGTAGCATAAAAAAAGAAAAACCAGCCGAATCATTTGAGTCATGCAAGATTGAATTATTTACTAAAACTAAAATAGATAACGAAAATCAGGACTTTTAAATTGAAATTTATTTCAGTAATTTAAATGGAATGATTCGTACGTATCGAATTTAGACGCAAACCTTAATTAGTTCAAATTGAATAGAACTTGACCAGAAGAATTGGTTGACATCGCTAAAAACAGAATAAACAAAACGAATTACAATTAGTTGGAAGTTTTATTGTTAAAAGTTAATACGCATTTGTGTAATTTATTTGACCAAAATATGAAGTGCGTCATTTACTATTTATTTATTTATTTTTTTTTTTTGACATTTCTTATATGAGTGCTGCCAAGGCAAAATGTCTCTTCGGACTTTCAATTATATTTTTATTATATTTTTATTGGACACAATCCTTAATAAATTAGATAGATTATGTCCAGTACAAAATATAATTAAAATCCGAAGGGCTGACAGTACTCATATGGATAACGTCTGACTCATCTTCCCATGAAAAGATAGGATGGATAACGTCTGACTCATCTTCCCATGAAAAGATAGGATGGATAACGTCTGACTCATCTTCCCATGAAAAGATAGGTTAGACGTCATCCATATGATTTTACAATGTGGGTTAGACGTCATCCATACGATTCTACAATGCGTTAGGCATCATCCATATGATTTTATAAGATGAGTTAGGCGTCATCCATATGATTTTACAATAAGAAATGTCAAAAAAATAGTAAATGACGCACCTCATAACCTAATCAAATACTTAAATTACGTAATGAAATGAAAGCTTACGTAATTAAAAAAGATACAACACCTATTTCAGCTTATACAGTGTTTAGAAAGATTAACAGTAAAACGGCAAGTTGGTTTTATGCATAAATTAGTATGTGGCTTAGTATGAGTCCAACATAAAACAAAAAAAAAAGTCGGCCTATTAGTTCTTCCGAAAGAGATTAGGTTTGAGTTAAACCATTATTGAGCCATTGTTCAAAAATTAACTGCTTAGCAAAAATAAACAAATGAATTAAAATTTCATATCATTATGCAAAAAAAAAACAATGAAACAAAATGCATACCTAAATTCGGAACTTATTAAAAATTTCCGCAATTGGTTATTCATTTATCGTACGTAACAATGACAAAGTAAATAAAATGCCGAACATTCACATGAAAGAGATAATCAATGGTCATACCGATTGGTTGTTCGACGATGTATTATTATCTAAAATGATATGCATCACGTTTTCGCATACGAGTGTAAGGTAAAGCGATACACCGTTGCCTTCAGGTTACCTAAATAAAAAGCTTTTTTCTAAAACTTTCTTTCAAGCATCGAAAAAAATGATGGCTGACGATAACATTTATAATTGAAGACCACCTATACCTTAATTTTCACAACATCGAGAGTGAAATCTTTGGTGAAGCAATTCAAAGTTAACAAGCTTGATGTCTGTTGAACTTTAACCGAATTTTCTACACATAAATTCAATTTAACTGAATATAATTAATATATCTTGCATTAACGATTGTGCCTTAAACATAAATTGAACAATGACCATCTCAACATACCTGTATGCTCGGTTGTAACACTTCTAAAAGTTAAAATAATTGACGTACCATCTTTGGCAACGCAATGCCGCAATAAATTGCATACTTTATTGAGCTTTGTAGCAGTAGATCCTTCTTCACTCGTATTTCTTTGTTCCTACGTTACAATTATGAATAAATGGAAATTATTTAGTAAAAAACAAGAAGAGAAAAATATTCATACAATCATCCCTGACTATATTTGTTTTTAACCATAATGGGTTTCGGCTTTTTTCCACAAATTATGTGATAGTAAATTGATAAACTTTCTCCTTAAATTAAGCATAAGTTCATTGCTACTAAAATGGTAATGAGTAGAGTCCATCTATATTTATTAATTTAATTAATCATATTACGTACAAGATTTGCTCTTATATTTACAAAAATTTACATGCGCAGAACGTCAGGAAGATTAACTTATATGCAAAAGTAAGACATGTGCAAAAAAAAAAAAAACATATGTAGCATATGTAGCATGTAAATGTAGTATGTAAAAAAATGCGGGGAATCAAAGTGCTGAATAAAGAAAATCTATTAGCCTGGGAATAAATAAGAGCACAGTCTATATGTATGCACGAAAGCATAACAAATCATGCATGATATGTAAGGTAATATGAAAAAAAAAGTCTATAAGGAACCTTAACATATAATATCGATCATATTTATCAATCATAACTTTCAAGACTCTTCGCCATCCTGCTTCTTGAGTTCAAGAACAATTTCGTCAACAATTTGGTCCATAATTGATGTGCGAGAAGGAAAATCTTCTCCAAAAAAAAGAGAAGAAGTATAGCTATCATCCCTTGTGGTGGGCATAACGAAATGATTTTGAGGCGGTTGAGAGTTGTTATTAGTCGCTCTGTTAGCTACAGAAGAGCTGTTACTGGTCACTCTGTTAGCTACAGAAGAGCTGTTACTAGTCGCTCGGTTAGCTGCAGAAGAGCTATTACTAGTCGCTCTGTTAGCTGCAGAAGAGCTACTGCTAGTCGTTCTGTTAGTTGCAGAAGAGCTACTAGTCGCTCTGTTTGCTGCAGAAGAGCTACTACTAGTGTTAGACGTTTTTTCAGAAGAAGCGGTCATATTTCTTATTTGTTTATTAAAAAATGTTTTTTTTTCTTTTTTATTTGTTTTATAATTTTTTTTTACGAAGATACAGTTTCAAAAGGAAAAAGGAAAAAGAGGGAAAAGAGGAAAGTCAAGTTTACTTTACGACCAAGTTATTTATAGACAAAAATGATTACTTTGTAACCTTATTAAAATTGTTAATATACTTTATTGATCATATTGATCACGTCAGTACATACCTTTTAATTAAAGAATTTATACATGACCTTTATGGTCTATTAAGACTGGGGTTAGAGTTAGAACTAGGTATAGCTAAATTAGGTTATATGTGTTGCGTAATTATATTATATACCATGTAGCACCGATTAAGGGACCCCCATTCTAAAGTGAAAAATATTTTTGTATATTGTACGAAAGGGAAGTTTTGCTTCAAAAGGGAAAAATTTAAAGTACATATACACTTTCATTTATGATTATGATGAACAGCTTAGTATTTAAATAAGCTAGCTAATGATTAATGAAATTCCTGTTACCTGTAGGAAAATTCTTGCAGTTCCTGAAGGTTAAGCTTCGGATAATTCGGATTAATAAAAAAGTGGATCTTTTTTAAATCAGGTACGCCTTTACATTTAACTGTGTACACTTTCTTTTATACACGTGATATGTGTTACACGTTCACGTGTATATATGCGTACACAGTATATACAGTATCTGGTATAACATTATTTATGACACGAGTATTTCGTCGTCTAAAGAAAAAAAACGAAAGATAAAGGGTAAAGTATCATAAAATTTTGATTATTCCGATAAAAGACTAAAAGAAAAACAGAAAAGGATTGTAGATTATATAAAATGGGTTTTATGCTCCGAAGCATATATAATCACCAACCATTGTTTACGTGGTCGCTTACAGTCTCGTTGCATATCACGCGGAAATCCATTCTGAACGAAAGGAGATTCGCTGATAAACTAGCACGGACAGTAGCGAGCTGTCGCGTAAATAACGGATTAAATGGGCTATTAAAGTTTGTATATGTAATTTGCTTCGAAAATTGAATAATATCTGGTTTATATAATTTATTTGCAAAAATGTTATCATATAGTTTTTATTATAACTTTTATCATAGTCTTTGTTATGCTTTGTTTGCTTTTTGTTTTATTTAAAAAAAAAAAAAAAAACTTTGTTAACAGAAATTCGAAAGATAAGTGCTTATATTCAGAACGCGAAAACCTTGTTAAATTTAATTTATCCAAATATGGGCAAATCCGACATTCATTTAGAAGTTTATGGTTTCGCAACTTTATTAATTTATGACACATGAACTCAATCATTTTGTACTAAATTAGTGTAACTACTACATCACCAATAAGAAATAAATTTAGATAAAGAAATTTTCTACATACGCCGTGAAAATTAATATATGCATTTGCTCACTTAACATTGTATATTTTTATTGATACGTATTGTATGTTAAAAAAAAGAAACGAAAAAAATGCAATATTCAAATTTAACCAATATTTAGTACACAAACTTAATCCAAACTTTTTTTACCTTTGTGAAAAATAGTATGAATATTCATAAGGTTTGAAAATAATACGTATCAGGTATAATTAAAATTATTTTACATAATCATCAGTAATATACAGTATATAATTAATCGCGTAATGGTAATACAGGTTATTTGTTACTTAAAAATATATATAAAAAAAAACAGATGGTAAGAAGGTTCCGAGCTGTTAGCATTACATGCAAAAAAATCAAATTTGAATCAAAACAATTAAGCATAAATGAGAATAAATGAGATTCTAAATGAGATTCTAAATGAGATTCTAATAAGATTCTTAATGAGATTCTTAATTCTCGTTTATTTATAGCTGTTTCAAAAAGGTGTGAACAGATGCAAATAACTATATCACAGGAAATTCCCGAAATTACCCAGATTTCCAAAACTTTCAAAGCCAGCTCTAATCGGATTTTCAATTTTTATTAATGATAATTTCCAAATTCTTCGATTCCCCACATAGGTATGTGGAAATTGTTGTTCACACCTTTTTGAAAACAGCTGTAATATATATATATATGTATATATATATCAGTGAATTCGTTAAGTGAATGAAAACGCATAGAATTTCACACGTTTCTGAAGTTCCTGTTTCATTTTTAAACCGATAATCTATATATCGACAAATGGAATATTGATACTGTCAACGTGGTTTATACGAGATAACTAGTGGTAAAATCGTTAACAATGGTTTATGTTTTTGATATTGTAAAACATAAAGAACTGGTGAGTCATCTTCATGTAATTCAAGGGGATCATGTAATACTGTAAATACTGTAATACTGTAATACTGTAATACATTGTGATTGTATCTCTGTATTTGTATATATATATTTTAAGGTTTTTCTATCGCCATTGATGGACACTGTCATGCGACCCTTAATATAAACAAAAAAGCTATTCACTGCAAGAAATTTAACTAGGTATAGAATAATATGAAATATAACTAAGTATAGGATGAACCCCAGTATAAATTATTAATTTAACACGTACGTAACTTTAAATATTATCTATGATGCTCACCTTACATAACCGGAAATTTACTTTTCAAGTTATCCTAGCATTAAAAGACTTTAGATGATGAAAAGATGACCTATCAGAACGACACTCTTATTAATTTTGAATAGAATGTTGGTCACAATTTTAGATAAAAAATAAAGATGGTGTGTTGAGAAAACAGTCATCGCTAAAATTGAATCTGTATATAATATTAGTCTAGTTAGTCTCGTTAGTCTCGGTAGGTACGCTTATCTAATAACCAGAAAGTCCAGAAAGTTGACTGCTAGAAGGAATAAAGTTAAATATTTAAGGCGAATGCTATTTTAGTTTTTCCGTTTCGTTACTTATAAATAACCTGTCAGAACAGCAGTCATGATAGATGGAACATCTTACAGTCACAGTAGCAGATATCAAATTCTTAGTGTAGCAGTCATTCAATACTCGCTAAGGTTGCAACAAAGGATAAGATGCTGAAAACATATAATTACTGTATATTTTGCTATTTATATTACTGTATATTTTGCTATTTATATTTAGAAATGTCTCTTAGATGAGAGAAAAAAACGTGTTATTTGAATTACAAATTGCATTTTTTTTAAATTTAAATAGGTCACCACTCTTACTTTAAATTAAAATTGAATCCACAAGTTCTATTTCTCTTATTCTTAAAAATAAAATTTATAGTTTCAATTTTGATTCAAACTATCAGTGTAATAGTTTTTTTAGTTTAAAAATTTTTGAGATTCAAAAGCAACACCATAAAACAGTGTTGGCAATTTTGTCATATCCAACTTTATATGACCCAAGTTGTCGTAATAGCATGATTAAATATCCATCTGATTGGTTGTCGATCCTTGAATTTTTATTGGCTAATTAGATAAACGTCCTATATGA